GGTTGCGGTGCCCGGGAGCGGCCACTGCACTCCAGTCTGGGCGACAGAGTGAGTCTCCAACTCAAAAAAAAAAAAAAAAAATTGATTTTATAAATGTCAAATTCTCAATAACGACTATATCAGGGAAGGATGGAAAGGAAGGATTGTATTCGCTAAAGACTGAGGGCTCTGGAATTCCAGTTCCGGCAACAAGGCACAAAGACCTAGAGTTGACCTTCCTTCAGCTATCATCTAATGGAAAACTTTAACATGATAAAAGCTGTTTTGGTTTTTTTTTGAGTTGGAGTCTCACTTTTGTCGCCCAGGCTGGAGTGCAGTGGCACGCTCACAGCCATCACAGCCTTGACCTGCTGGGCTTAGGCAATCCTTCCGCCTCAGCCTACCAAGTAGTTGGAATTACAGATGCACGCCACCATGTCCAGCAAGTTTTTGTCATTTATTGTAGAGACAAGGTCTCACCAGTTGCCCAGGCTGGTCTCGAAACCCTGGGCTCAGACAATCCTTTCGCCTCGGCCTCCCAAAGTGCTGGGATTATAGGCTGAGCCACCGCACCTGGACTAAAGTATATTTTTAAACTAGCTTGAGGCTGGGTGCAGAGGCTCATGCCTGTAATCCCAGCACTTCACTTTAGGAGACAAGAGCCAGGAAAATAATTTGAGGCCAGGAGATGGAGACCAGCCTGAGTAACACAATCCAACCATATCTCTAACAAAATGAAAGATAAAAACAAAAACAATTAACTGGGGATAGTGGCATGCTCCTGTAGCCAAGCTGCTCCCGAGGCTGAGGCAGGAGGATCTCTTGATCCCAGGGGTTCAAGGCTGCAGTGAGCATTCTTGCCAGAGTGAGATATTATCTCCAAAATAAAAAGGTGAACTTTTCTCTCTCCACTCCTGTACTCGCCTTGCTTCCTTTGTTCATGTTTGCTTTACCTCATTCCTTAAGAATGAGATGACTCACCAAAATAATTCAATATAATTAACAAAAATTGTTAAAGAAAAAACAAGCCGGGCACCGTGGCTCACACCTGTAATCCCAGCACTTTAGGAGATGGAGGCAAGAGGACTGCCTGAGCTCACAGGATCGAGACCACCCTGAGTAAGCAAGACCTCATCTCTATGATAAAAATCAAAACATTAGCTGAGCATGGTGGCGCATACCTGTGGCTCCAGCTACCTGGAAGGCTGAGGCAGAAGGATAGCATGAGCCCAGCAGGTTGAGGCCACGGTGTCCGTGAGTGTGCTACTGCACTCCAGCCTGGGCAACAGTAAAAATCCAACTCAAAAAAAAGAAAAAAGGAAAAAAAGAAAAAACAAAACAAGTGCCCCAAAAACTGAAGTTACCAGAAGCCAGCAATAGGTAGTAAACTTAAAAGCCAGGAAGGTAAACTGTGTCAGTCCATTGGGTTATAGGACCAAACAGACACAACAGGGACTTAAAAAGAAGTAATGCTAGAACTGATGTTTCAGAGTACAGGACCACAATGAATGGGCAAACTGAAAAGAATGCCATGGACCAAAGAGACAGCAGGGAATCATGTCTGCCTAGAACACTGAGTGGGTTTCTGCAGAAACTGGCTTCAGACGGAAACTAACCAGAGAGTTAAAAACTGTTACTTGCTGGGCTCGGTGGCTCAGCCTGTAATCCCGCGCCTTTGGGAGGCTGAAGTGAGTGGACTGCCTGAGCCCGCGGGTTCAAGACCCGCCTGGGCAACTTGGCGAGACCTCATCTCTACAATAAATCAAGAAATTAGCCGGGCATGGTTAGCACGCGCCTGTAATTCCAGCTACTTGGAAGGCTGAGGCGGAAGGATCGCCGGAGCCCAGCAGGTCGAGGCTGCGGTGGCCGGGAGCGGCCACTGCACTCCAGTCTGGGCGACAGAGTGAGACTCTGACTCAAAAACCAAAACAAAACAAAAAACTGTTACTTTCACCAATGCCGTCTGTGTGAGAGACACTGTTGTCTCAAGACATGCTCTCAAGACATAAATGCAAACGGTACCACAGAGGCCTCCTGTAGTTCTTCTAAAGTGATCAGGACCCATCACTTCCATGAAGTCTTACCTTGATCGACTCCGATCCTTGTTTCGATCTGAGCTCCGTTCTCGATCCCGGTCACGATCTCTCTCTCGATCCCGATCTCGATCTCTCTCTTTCGTCCGGTCACGGTCCCTATCCCGTTCTCGTTCCCGCTCCCGTTCCTTCTCCTTTTCTCGTTCACGTTCTCTTTCCCTTTCTCGTTCCCGTTCTCGCCTTTCTCGTTCCCTTTCACGCTCCCTCTCTCTTTCTCTCCGTTCTTTCTCAATTTCCTGTCTTTCTTTTTCCTTTTTGCCTTTCTCTTCTTCCAGTTTCTAGAAACCAATAAAAGCGCTTTTAGAGTTAACTCTGTAGCTCCTGTATACAGATTTTTCCCGGCGCAATGCCCAATACTGGGAACAAAAACACCAAACCACTGGTACTTTATTATTAAATACTTGTGGTTTTATGAAGAAATTAAATAGAAGCAATCACAAGACTAGATAGATTTCGTGCAAAACCATATATACTCTACACAGACCAGGAATCTCCAATCTTGGATGCTGGGAGATTGTGTCAAGTGTGGTTGGCCACTCAATGACTAGGTTAATAACTGAAATGACCATGAGGAATGTGGGGGTTCAAAAATTGTTCTGTAAATATAATCACTTGGTTAAAATATATTTCTGCCCATTATGAATTTCTGTAAATCAATAGAACTTTTGATACTAATTATAACCCTGGGCTCCCCATTCCCTAAAGGTGACTAATTGAAGGTTTTACAGGGCAGGTGGTGGAAGAGAGTTGCTGTAATGAACTCAATCATCTCTGCCCTCTGGTCTGCCCACCCTCCAAAAGAAACGCAAGAGGACTTCAGCCAAGATCTGCCTTCTTGTCTACGGTAACATTTACTCCCACCATTACAAGATGGACAGCCCACCAAATACAAAAAAGTTTGAAAATCACTCACTTCAAGCAAAATGTACATAATTATAATATTTTCATTTTTAATATATTTAAAAGCAAGATATTTATGCCCATTATGCCTGTAAGACAATGAAAAGATATTTACAATGATAAATCCCTCCTTGGAAGGAGCAAGTGTGCATGAACTTACAGATGCTGTGCTAGGACATGGACCGCCAACACTGGATTAACCTTGCCTACAAGCTATGCTTCTGGGAGGAAGAGCAAGTACAGGGTTCACAAATAAACCAAATCACAAGTCAGACCAAGGCTGTGCCCTGACAAGATTACCAGTACACTATATGGCTGCGACACCGACTCAGAAAAATACCCCAACAGGTAAAACAGAACAGAACAAAACAAAGCACATTTATCCCTCTGGATCCATGTTTAGTTTGACCGAAATGAAATTTAAACTGCAGCAACAAAATGTGCATTTTTCTTTTCTCAGTCATGTAAAGCATTTAAAACAACTTTAAAAAGCAATCTTACCTGTTACTCTTTTTCTCTTCCTCATGGATCAGAGAACTGACAGATTTATGAAAGAAAAGCTAACGTATGAGAGATCAATATATCCAGGTGCTGTGCCAGACTATATCAAAGTAGAATGCAGGCAGGGGCAATACTGAATACATTGAAATTGCAAAGGAAAGAAATAAGAAATGATAGAAAGGGGACAGAAACTGACAGCTATTAAAGGGGCAAAATCTCATTTCTTAAACAGCTCTCATGGAATATAATTTATATTGTAAACTGAGGCTAGACTATATAAAACTTACCTCAATGTCATACACATATAAAGAAAATGTTTATTTCTGATATAAGACATACTTACAGACTACTTTTGTTCCAATATTAATTTCTTTTGTAGAATTCCTCAAATTTTTTACTCTTTCTTATTCACTGTGCTGCCTATATTCACTTATGTAAATAACAATTTGTTTCAGAACTCATTTCAAATAAGTGAGTAAATATGGTCCATAATAAATGTTTCTAAAAGGTTATATGAGAAATATATATACATGTAAATAAACATGTGTACAAGTACACATATACATGTATATTTCAAAGAAAGACCAAAAAAAGAAAATGAGATAAGTCTAAAAAGATGCAAGAGAATAATGAAGAGGAAAGGACAGATTAAAAACTCGTAAATCTTACCTTATTCTCTCTTCAGACTCATCCGTGCTGTAAATGGACGCCCCCTGCCACGCTGATACCCTGACAGTCTGTGGTTATTTAATAAACTCATACCAAAACATGCAAAGGTTCACTGAGCTCATTCTGTGTTACTGAAGTTTCAAGCACCCCCTTTACCCACACCACCCAATTAAAAAAAACTGTTTTCGTTTTGATTTCATTTTTTGTTTGTTTGTTTTAAATTTTTTTATTTTTTGAGTTGGAGTCTCACTCTGTTGCCCAGGCTGGAGTGCAGTGGCACCCTCACAGCCACCACAGCCTCAACCTGCTGGGGTCAGGCGATCCTTCCACCTCAGCCTTCCAAGTAGCTGGAACTACAGGCGCGCACCACCATGCCCGGCTAATTTTCTGATTTATTGCAGAGACGAGATCTTGTCAAGTAGCCCAGGCTGGCCTCGAACCCGTGGGCTCGGCAATCCTCTCGCCTCCATCTCCCAAAGTGCTGGGATTATAAGTGTGAGCCACCACGCCTGGCTGATTTCTTTTTACTTTCAAAACACATTTTAGAAATCCAAACATATCCCCCAGTGAAGTAATACTAAGGCAGTGAAATGCCTGACAGATTCTCAACTTTGAAGCAAACATATTTTGATTTTTTTAAAAAGCATGATTTCCTTGTAATTTACCAATAACACGACAGGGTTTTACTAATAAATAAAAACAAAAAGGGGGTAAACCACACACACAACTGTATACCATTTTTAAGCTTACTCAGCCTGGAACTTGAGTATCATATCTATCACCAAAATAATTCCTCTAAAATGACTTCCCACAGACCACCATTTCAACTCTCAAAATTAATTTTCAGAGAATTACTTATGTGCTTTTAGACACATTTAATTCCCGAAAAAAAGCACTGTATATGTGAGCTAGGGCTGGGCATCTGATTAAAAAGTGTTCAGCAGCATTAATTCATTGGCATTATTTGTCAACTTGGAATTTTAAAAGCAATGAGAAAAAAATAAGATTGAATAAGAAAGCAAATGAACAGTTAATATTTCACTGAGTTAAAGATCTCTCAGTGTAAGAACCAGTAACACTTTATTACCTCTAACATCAAATACAATTCATGCAGCGTTTGCACTTCCCCCTAAGTAAGTACCTGCAACACCAGAGACCCTTCCCAGACGCACTGTCACGGAGAGAAGCTTCAAATAGGCAGAACTCGTGAGTGGGATTTACAATGCACAAATACCCATCACCAAGCCAGTTACCCCTTTGCATATTTTTCTGAGGGGGCATCCATAAATATAATAAAAAACAGAAGCTCATACTTACATCCTATTCCTTGTTACTTTCCAAGCTGAGAGTTTCATCTTGCATTAGTCACCATATGATCTCTATCATAATGGTGGGGGTCAATGAATAGATTAGCTTTACGGGAATTTACAGTTCTTCCATGCATCTAAAATTTGGTAAGTCTGGTAACCACTGACCTACTTTTTAAAATCTCCCCCACTCAACTTAAATCTATACAAATATAAATCTAAGTTTTAATCTCAGCTCTAAAGAAAAGGTTCTCCTAAGATAAACTAAATAACTCTACCCAGAAACAAACTACAGTGATTGCTATTCTGTTGCCCCCTTGAATCTAGTTAAAATCTGACCACGAAGCCTAGGTTGAAATCTATAACCAAAATTAGTTTTCACTGATAGTAAAGTGAGACGACTGCAGAGTAGTCAGTAACTGAAAAAACTAAGCACAGTATGTCAAGGACAAGTTTACGATTGTACTGGTCTTTTGTTTCTTTGTTTCTATCTAAATAGCAATTAAACCTATAAAAGCATTTAAAATTATATTCTAAGGTAAGGTTGATTTTTTTGTCTCTTTGCTTTGGTTTCTGTAAAAAGTCTAGATTGGTATCAAATAAACAAGAATACTACCTTGTGTGTGTCTCTGAATTTGCTGATCTCTCGTGATATCAGATCTCTTTTATCTTCTTCCATTTCTATAGCATTTATATCCTCCTAAAAGATAAGAGGAACAGGAGGAAATAAAGGTTAACCTGCATCAATATAAAAAGTTGGAGATTAGGTCTTTGTACAGGTCTTAAAGAGTAAACAAAAAAATTGAACATTTAAGGTAACAAATCTAGCCATGTAAACAGTGAAAAACAGACAAGAATCACAAATCTGGCAATCAGCAAAAACACAGGTATTGTCAAAGCCTACAATTTAGACGAACCTTGGTGATGAGTGGATAAGGAATCAATGGGGCCACTGGAAATCTGCGGAAAATCTGCGAAAAAATCCACAGAGATTTTTTTAAAAAACAAACAAAGCTCACACTATTCTGCAAAGCAATGCTCTATACATTTATGCTGTGAACAATACAGTACTTCTGTATTAATGTTTTCTTGATTTCAAATTATTTAACAGTAAGTAGGGCATGGTGGCTCACACCAGAAATTCCAGTAATTTGGGAAGCAGAGGCAAGAGGATTGCCTGAGTCCAGGGGGTTCAAGACCAGCCTGGGCAACCTGGCGAGACTTCCTCTTTACAATAAATAAATTAGTCGGGCGTGGTGATGCATGCCTATATTTCCAGCTACTTGGAAAGCTGAGGCAGTGGGATCACCTGTGCATTCCAGCCTGGGCAACAAAGACTCCAGCTCAATAAAAGAAAATTACTTGACAGTAAAAGCAACTTCACTCTTTACAAACCCTCTGATCATCCACAACCCTCTATCCCTTCAACACTCCCAAATGGAGTAAGGAGGGTCTCACAGTAGCAGGGCTTTCTCCCTTACCTCCTAAGATACTGGAAACAAATTGGGCATGGTGGCTCAACCCTGTAATCCCAGCACTTTAGGCGGTGGAGCAAGAAGATTACCTGCACTGAAGGGTTCAAAACCAGCCTGGGAAACATAGCAAGAACTCATCTCTACAATAAATAAAAAAACTAGCTGGGCATGGTGACGCACGCCTGTGGTTCCAGCTACTTGGAAGGCTGAGGCAGAAGGATCACCTAAGCCCAGCAGATTGAGGTTACAGTGGCCGTGAGCATGCCACTGCACTCCATCCTGGACAATAGAGTGAGAATCTGACTCAAAACAAACAAAATAAACATACCGGAAACAATCATACCAACAAAATTCACCTATCATCCCTGCAAGAGAGCAAGAATTATTTTAAATTTTTTTTTTGAGTCAAAGTCTCACTCTGTCACCCAGGCTGTAGTGCAGTGGCACTCTCACGGCCACCATAGCCTCGACCTACTGGGCTTAGGTGAACCTTCCAACTCAGCCTTCAAAGTAGCTGAAATTACAGGCACATGCTACCACGTCCAGCTTTATTCTTTATTTTTTTATTATAGAGACGAGGTCTCACCAGGTTGCCCAGGCTGGTCCTGAACCCCTGGGCTCAGGCAATCCTCTCACCTCAGTCTCCCAAAGTGCTGGGATAACAGGCTCCGCACCTGGCTGAGAGCAGCCTATTGATCATCTCCTCCCAGCCCCTTTAAGCAAATATGTGTAGATATTCCTCCCTTCCCATTAATGAAGGAAAAGGAAGAACAAACTCTACAGGCCTCAATTACCCTATATCTGACTAGCCTTACATTATGACCAAATGAGGAAGAACAAGCCAACTAAGAAACATGTATCAGGCCACAAAGAAAACTGGAGATGGCCTTTAAAAGCACTGAAATTTGGCCGGGCTCGGTGGTTCAGCCTATAATCCTAGTGTTTTGGGAGGCCGAGGCAAGTGGATTGCCTGAGTCCACAAGTTTGAGACCCACCTGGGCAACTTGGCGAGACCTCGTCTCTACAATAAATCAAAAATTAGCCAGGCATGGTAGCACATGCCTGTAGTTCTGGCTACTTGGAAGGCTGAGGCGGAAGGTTCACCCGAGCCCAGCAAGTTAAGGCTGCGGTGGCCAGGAACATGCCACTGCACTCCAGTCTGGGTGATGTAGTGAGACACCAACTCAAAAAAAAAAAAAAAAGCACTGAAATTTAAATAAATATGAATTGTAACTACTCCTCGATAAGCAATCATAATATACTTTATAGTACTTTCTTATGACATACAATACATGTATAAAAATTCTTTCAGTAATTTTGTTCTTCCTTTTTTTAAGAAATGAGGTTCTCACTATTTTGCCCAGGCTAAACTTGAACTTCTGGGCTCAAACGACACTCTCGTCTCAGACTCCAGAGTAGCTGGGACCACAAGCACCACCATACCTGGTTTCTTCCAATATTATAATACAACACTTCAAATAATTTCTCTAAGTTTATCCAAAGAAAATAAGTGTGAGAAAACCCAAACATTTTATTTCAATCTAGATTCCCTACTGTTTAGTGAGCAGAGGCCGGCCAAGGGGTTGTGGATTTAATCTGTTGAGGGAAAACATGTCACCTTGTGCTGCTCTTCCAGATCCTCAAGTTTGAGGTTCAGTACCATTACTGTTCATGGAGGACAATGAAACATGTTTTAAAGGAAAGACAACTAAAAATGAATAAGTGGGTGGAACTCTTCAGTTAATGAGACCTCCTTTCCTGCTTAGTGCAGAGACAGACTAACATAATTAGGAGGTAAGTAAAAGATCATCACCTGTCACAGTTGTTTTTTTCTAAACAATTACCTTACCTCACCTCCTTAATGTAAATTCCTACTTATTCACTACTCAAGGTTTTTGTTGCTGTTGCTTTTTTGTTTGCTTTTACCTTGAGCCCACAGATAATTACAACCCTCTACACTACTGCATGTCAAACATACAAAACATTTTGGTCAAAAAATTAGAAAGCGAGTTGGTACAACACGGTTAAATTAAGGTTCTATATACAAGATACATATAGTCAGTTATCTCTTGATGCACAAATCCCTTATATAAAATGGTGTTAACCTTTTTCACATTCTTCGTATACAATAAATCACCTCTAGATTACTTACAATACCTCATGCAATGTAAATAGCTGCTATGCTATACTGGTTTTTTATTTGTATTATTTTTTATACTTGTATTGTTATTTTGGGGTTATTTTTCCCCCTGGATATTTTAAATCTGAGGTTGGTTTGAATTCACAGATATGGAACTCAGAGAGTCAACTGCATATGGGTATTTTTTCATGGTATATAAATAACCTTAAATATTTTTAAAATTAACAGTCCATATAATTTCTCTGCTTTTATGCAAAATAGTGTGAGAACCAAACATTTCCTTTCAACCTGTACACTGTTATAAATCCTAGTTATTCAGTCTTCCCTTCAAAAGCTAAAATGCAATCACAGCACAAAAGTAACATCATAAAAAATAAATTTTAGAAATGACCGTGTTGACAGAACACATACGTCCTCCTTCTTTTCCTTCTTCTTTTTCCTGGGGTGAGAGTCAGATTCCTGAGAGGGGGCATTTAGCTCACTGGAGTATTCACGTATTAAAACTTCAATGGCCCCTTTTATCATCTGATCTCTTCTCTTTGTTTCTTCATCTAAGGCTTCCTCATCATCATTAGTGACTGTTTCCGGTCTGGCATTCTTAGAACACAAGCAGATTCAGGAGGAAGAAAATCAAACAAGAAAATGAAAATCACTCTAAAACAAATACATAATACACAAAACAAATGTTTTCGCCAAAATACCTCAAGAGTCCTATTTAAATGCAGAGTTCAGTTTTATTATAAATGTCACAAAATTAAGCATCATTTGTATTATTTCATTGTCTTCCTCAGATACCAGTATTTTTTTCATTTTATCATTCTTTCCTGAATAGCTATAAACCTGGCCCCTAAATAGCTTTAAAAAAAAATAAATTAAATATCAGGACTAAGACACTATACAACACATCTGCAAAGCTATCCCAATTTTCAGATTGTCTTCCAGAAGTGTTTGTCTTCCTACAATGCTCACCTGGTGAACATGAAGCAGGCACATTTTCAGATGCATACAAGAATCATGCTTTTGTGCATGAATGCCTCATCCTAGTCATACAACTTTATCCAAGGTGAGTTTCATGCCTGATGATTCCTTAACAGTATAACCAGCCCATCAGTGATTTCATAACACCACCACCAGCATCCTGAAAGCAGTCTCCAAAGTTTTATTTCTTAAATTCACTTGCTCAACAAATTCTTATTAAGAGCACACTGTGCAAAAGGATAGCGCAAGCAAAGCTCGGTGGCTCAGCCTCTAATTCCGCCCCTTTGGGATGCTGAGGTGAGTGAATTGCCTGAGCCCGCGGGTTCGAGACCCGCCTGGGCAGCGAGACCTCATCTCTACAATAAATCAAAAAATCATCCGGGTGTGGTAGTGCATGCCTGTTATTCCAGCTACTTGGAAGGCTGAGGCGGAAGGATGGCCAGAGCCCAGCAGGTCAAGGCTGCAGTGGCCGCACTCCAGTCTGGGTGACAGAGTGAGCTCCAACTCAAAAAAAAAAAAAAAAAAAAAAAAAAAAATTCACCAATGACATAGGGAACTATAATTGTGGTGCTGTGTTTCTTATTTTAAATCAATAAAACATATCTCAACAAGCTCATTAATTTATATACCTGTAAATAAAATTTCTTCAGTGCTACTCTGCTTCTTTGAAGTTTTTAAATAAAAGAGTTAAACCTTCAGTAACTTGGCACTGAAACCTTACATTCACATGTGGCTATTTCAAGCCCAAACCCTTGGCTGTTATGACTTAAATTCTATATATCAACATACACTTTATTAGAGAGCACTCTGTCAGTTGTTAGCATATTCCCTATATTCTGAATTCCTTTCCCTGAACCATTCATATTTCCATATCTTTCTGAGCACAGGAATGTAGGGTTTTAATTCCAAAGGCCTACTCATATAAAAATACTCATGGTCCCTAAATTGATAATTGTCCCCACTGTAAATCAAAATCAACATGACTATTTTATGCAAAGTATAAATAAAGCATTTGCAATGAATTCAGGTTTTTAGAAGGACAGCCTATTAGTCCAAATCGCTTAAGTGATTGCTAATTTAAAAAAACAAACAGAGCCGGCTCTGTGGCTCAGTCTGTAATCCTGCACCTTTGGGAGGCTGAGGTGAGTGAACTGCATGAGCCCGCGGGTTCAAGACCCGTCTAGGCAACTTGGCGAGACCTCATCTCTACAATAAAATCAAAAAAATTAGCTGGGCGTGGTAACACGCCCCTGTAGTTCCAGCTACTTGGAAGGCTGAGGCGGGAGGATCGCCGGAACCCAGAAGGTCGAGGCTGCGGTGGCCAGGAGCGGCCACTGAACTCCAGTCTGGGTGACAGAGCGAGACTCCAACTCAAATAAAAAAAACAAAAACAAACAAACAGGCTGGGCTCCAGCTAGGTGGCTCAGCCTGTAATCCCAGTGCTGTGGGAGGCCGAGGTGAGTTGATTGCCTGAGCCCGAGGGTTCGAGACCCGCCCGGGCAACTTGGCATCTCTACAATAAATAAAAAATTAGCAAGGCGTGGTAGCGCGCACCTTTAATTCCAGCTACTCAGAAGGCTGAGGCGGAAGATCGCTTGGAGCTCAGCAGGTCAAGGCTGCGGTGGCCGGGAGCGAGCCACTGCACTCCAGTCTGGACGATGGAGTAAGACTCCAACTCAAAAATACATATATATATCATGGTAGAAGTCATTTTTTGATTAGAAAGACCATTATATAGACTGGCAAGTAACATCTAAAGCTCTGCTTTTGGGTCCTCAACCATGAACAACTTCCTGTTTCTTCCTACACATCAGAAACCAGAAAATATGTTCAATAATCCTGGGGATCAAATGGTGAAGAGATTAGCCACACAAAAGGCTGTGAAAAATCAACTGATTATCTGGGATGTGTATGTGGCCCACCTATTTCCTTTTCCAGGGAATTCAAATAAATGTCAACAGTAAAGCTAGTAGTTGTACAGTTAAGCATTTCTTCTGGCTCAGTCCAAAGAAGAAAAGGTTCTGGGAACTTAAGCAAGTGTAGAGTTCTTTCCTTGAGAAAATGTAGGCACTACCAGACTAATTTCCAGGCAAAGATGTGAAGAAGTTAAGGTGGATCACCTGTCCTCTACAGAATGTAAGCACCAGGCTCTCTACAGAGAATATCAGTTTTGAACATTTGTCAGAGTTCATTCTTGAATGCATGGTTAACAGTCACACCTTGTGAAAGCCAAACAGATGCACCTTATTCTGTACTGTCATCGATGAACAGCCAGAAACCAATAAGAAACAACCTAAATTACCATGGCAACCTCAAATGAAATACTTTTACTAAAGGTAAATAAGAAATGGAAAGAAAAAAAGTTGCTTGTACAGATTCTGGAAAATCTAAATAAAAATTTTCAATCAAGTTGTTTGACAAGGCACCTTACAAAGGCACATGATTCCTTATAGTTCTGGATCATGAGAAATTTTTTTTTTTTTTTTTTTTTTTGAGTTGGAGTTTCACTCCATCGCCCAGACTGGAGTGCTGTGGCCGCTCCCGGCCACTGCATCCTCAACCTGCTGGGCTTCGGCAATTCTTCTTCCTCAACCTTCCAAGTAGCTGGAACTACAGGCGTGCGCTACCACGCCTGGCTGATTTTTTTTCTTATTCATTGTAGAGATGAGGTCTCGCCAAGTTGCCCAGGCACGCTAAGCAGGGTTGGGCCTGGTTAGTACTTGGATGGGAGAAAGAAATCTTGTCCCCTTCCAGACAAACTCCTGTTTCATTTGTAATCAATGAGAACTAAGGAAATAACTGTGTATTTTCTTTTGCCTCGGGGTGAGAGGAAAATGCCTGAATAAAGTAACATTAGGTTCTCAATGTCTCATTCTCTTAACATCTACCTAGATTACAGCTTCCTAAGTGTCTAAGCAAAAATAAAGACCGAACAAGCATCCACTTGTATTTTTAATCTTAAAAAGCATGGCAAGCCGGGCTCAGTGGCTCAGACTGTAATCCCACACTTTGGGAGGCTGAGGTGAGTGGGTTGCCTGAGCCCAAGGGTTCGAGACCCGCCTGGGCAACTTGGCGAGACCTCATCTCTACAATAAATCAAAAAATTAGCCAGGCGTGGTAGCAAGCGCCTGCAGTTCCAGCTACTTGGAAGACTGAGGTGGGTGACAGAGTGAGACTCCAACTCAAAAAAAAAAAAAAAAGGCAAATTTCCAATTTACTCCATGATATCATTATATTTTCTTAAGTCACTTTAAAAAATCTAACATCAGATAGATCTGCCCAACTATTTTTTAAAACCTGAATGTTGAGTAAAATTGACCATTCCGGTATGCCATGTTTATAATGTAACTTTAAGTAACTCTGGACAACAAGCGAAGAACACTCTAATGTATTAACAGTAGAAACAATAAAATATACATGTGCTATCAATAGTTTTATTTATTTTATCAGAAATAATTGTTCTTTTTTTTTTAATGTGGCTTTTCTCAAAGAAAGACAAACAGATTTAAAGTATAGTTACATTGGCTAATAATTACTACAAATGGACAACCCTTTCAGGTCCCCTCCCACTGTGGGAGCTTTTCTGTTCTCAATAAATCCAGCTTTTTAAAAAACAATAACAATAATAATAATTATTACAAATGAAAACCAAAGTCACACAATTGTGTACTTCCTTACTTATTCAAATATACAGTGATATACTTCATTTTCAGAGTTTTCTAGTATACCATTTGAAAATGCTACAAATTAAACCACCTCACAAATCAGTAAGTAAATCTAGTAACAGTGAGTCTTAAGAAATTAGAAGCCGGGCTCAGTGGCTCAGCCTGTAATCCCGCGCCTTTGGGAGGCTGAGGTGAGTGGATTGCCTGAGCCCATGGGTTCGAGATCCGCCTGAGCAGGCGAGACCTCATCTCTACAATAAATCAAAAATTAGCCGGGCATGGTAGTGCGCGCCAGTAGTTCCAGCTACTTGGAAGGCTGAGGCGGTAAGATCACCTGAGCCCAGCATGTAGAGGCTGCAGTGGCTGTGAGCATGCCACTGTGCTCCAGCCTGGGCAACAGAGTGAGACTCAAACTCAAAAAAGAAAAAAAATAAATAAAGGAAAATGTCTAGAAGAACATACAACCAAAATGTGTACAGTAGTTACTTGAGATTGTGGGTGGTATTTAACTGCTTTATACTTTGCTTCACTTTGGCTTTCTGTTTTGCTGCTTCTACAAAGAACATACAAGGTGTTTATAAAGGGAGGGGAAAAAAGGAAGCTATTTCTACTTTGAAAGATAATGTAAGCTTGGCCAGGTGCAGTGGCTCACACCTATAATGCCAGCATTTTGGGAGGCTGAGTTGAGAGGATTGTCTGAGATCACGGGCTCAAGACCAGCCTGGGCAACTTGGTGAGACCTCATCTCTACAATAAATCAAAAAAAGTAGCTGGGCAGGGTGGCATGTGCCTGTAGTTCCAGCTACTTGGAAGGCTAAGGTGGAAGGATCACCCCAGCCCAGAACGTTGAAGCTGCAGTGGCTGTGAGCATGCAACTGCACTACAGCCTGGGCGACAGAGTGAGACTTCAACTCAAAAAATAAAATAAAATAAAATAAAAAATAAAAGAAAGATAATATAAGCTTAATGAGAGCAAAAAAGCTATTTTGGTTTTGCTTTTGTTTGGAGGAAAAGGCAATAAATAAACCTATTTTGAATCTATTCAGCAGCATGAGGTGTCAGAAAAAAAACCAAAGAAACACATACTCGGGTTTCAGCTATGTTTTGCTTTGTTGAGAGGGGTACCGCATTACAACACAACATATAACTTCCTTTACTTTAGCTTCACTTAATATAGCTTAAATAAAGCCACCCAGCTGAGAAAAGTAGTAAGACTTATTTTCATTCATTTTAGGATCTGTGTACTTCTACAAGAGAGGGCAATAAATAAGAATCACGTAGGCTGAAACATTTGTACTTACTTACAAAGCTGCCTTAATGAATTAGTTCTGTTTGGAATAGTCTGTACCAGTGTTTTCTCTGGCAAGTTAACCTTGTCCAGCCTCCCTTACTACCTTCATCCCAACCTGGAACAAGCAAACCAACAGTCATCCACCCACTGTGGGTAGATAAAAGACTTAAAATAACCACAAACTATAGAACATCCTCTAGTATTTAAGTCACAAGCAATATGATGATGATGACAATCTTGTGACGCCCCCTCACTTTAATGTATGTAGACCGAAATAACAAAGCAACACTAGAAAAACATACCCCATTGGAAGCTTTCTTCTTTGCTTTCCATTCATCCAGCTGTGCCTTTGTCTTTGCATCAACTTTAACAAGGAGTTTTTTCTCTCCAATCTGCAGGTCATGCAATAATCTGAGTGCACGGAGGGTAGATTCAGGTTCCTTATACTCACAGAATCCAAAGGCTAGCAAGGGATGTTAAGAATTAGTGACATATCAACGCAATTATGAAAGAGTTTTATTTAAATGTATGGCCAAGTAAAATCAATAGAGACCACATGTTACAATACCCAATTCATCATTCCATCCCTCCCTTAAATTCCCTTTGATAATCATTTCACTTTTAGCACGCCTCAAAGAACCAAAAAGAAAAAAAAAAAAAGAGAAAGGAAGAAAAATTCCAATCAGGCAAATTGATACTTATTAGAAGTTATGATAAAATATTTACAAGCCAGGTGTGGTGGCTCATGCCTGTAATATCAGTACTTTGGGGGGCTGAGGTGAGAAGAATGCTTGAGTCAGGAGTTCGTGATCAGCATAGGCAATGTAGCAAGACTTCATCTCCACAAAAAATTTAAAACATTAGCTGGGTCTGGTGGCACACACCTGTAGTCCCAGCTACTCAGGAGGTATAGGCAGGAGGATCCCCTGACCACAGGAGATAAGGATTGCAGTGAGCTATATGACCACACCACTATACTCCAGTCTAGGCAATAGAGTGAGACCCTCTCTAAAAATAAAAAATGTAGCAGAGTCCCTGCATTTCATGATTAAAATGACGATTAATTATGTCATAAATTCATTCCACCCAGACTTCCAAACAAATACACAGAATAGACTGTTTGAACCTAAATAATATTTCAATTCCGAGATGTTAAATTACAAAATTAGTGATCTTTTGCCCTAGTTAGCAGTCTGTTTTTTCTATATCTATTTTACTGTATAACTAAACTATTCAATCGAACTGTTTTTTGAGTTGGGGGTCCCAATGCGACAACTCACTGCAGCCTCAACCGTCAGGGTTCTAGCACTCCATCTGCCTCAGTCTCTCAAGTACCTGGGACCACAAACACATGCACCACTCAGCTGATTTTTTTTAGAGAGACAAGGTTTCATTAAGTTGTCTAGGCTGGTCAAGAACTCCAGGGCTCAAGCAATCCTCTTACCTCGGCCTCCCTAGTGCTGGGATTATAGGCCTGAGGCAACAGGCTCAGTCTCAATTGCACTAACACTACGTTAACTCAAACAGGGCCATTAAGACAAATTTTAAAAGAACAATGCAAAAACTGAAAACAAAATTGAATAACATAACCATACAGAGAGGAACTACCATGAGTTGTACTAAAACAGCAAATTTGAGTATGAAATTTTTACTGTGATATATCTGCGCTAAGAACAAAAAGACTGCCCCCTAAAAGGTATATTATTGACGACAGTGTTGTAATTTAAAATTGTTGTATGTGTAGCTAGGCTGGTGGCTCACACCTGTAATCCCAGCACTTTGGGAGGTGGAGGCGAGAGGAATGTCTGAGTCCAGGGGGTTCAAGACAAATCTGGGCAACTTGGCGAGATCTTGTCTCTACAATAAATCAAAAATATTAGCTGGGCGTGTGGCACATGCCTGTGGTTCCAGCTAATTGGACAGCTGAGGCGGAATGATTACCTCAGCCCAGGAGGTGAGCATGCCACTGCACTCCAGCCTGGGTGACAGAGTGAGACTCCAATTCCAAAAAAAAAGAAAAAGAGAAAAAAAGAAATGAGACTCCTACTCAAAAAATAAGTTAAATACATAAAATTGCTGTGTGTATTTTGTTTGTTTGTTTTGGTTGGTTTTTTGTTTGTTTTCTGAGTTGGAGTCTCACTCTGTCGCCCAGACTGGAGTGCAGTGGCCACTCCCGGCCACCGCAGCCTACCTGCTGGGCTCAGGCAATCCTTCCGCCTCAGCCTTCCAAGTAGCCGGAATTACAGGCATGCGCTACCACGCCCAGCTGATTTTTTGATTTATTGTAGACATGAGGT